TCTTTATCTCTTCTGACTGACTTGACATCTACATTGTCAGATATGAGTATAGCTCCTACTGCTTGCTTTTGGTTTCCAGTTGCTTGATTTGTTTCTCATCCTTTCACTTTTGGTTTGTGTGTATCTTTGCCAGTGAGGCGTGTCTTTGTAAATAACAAACATTTATTTATTCTTGGTACTGGAATTTGAATTCAGAGCCTCTTCTTTGTTAGGAAGGCACTCTACCATTTGAGCTATATTCCAAGTCCTGGATCTAGATCCTCCTGCCTCAGCTGCTTGAGGTGACGGTATAACAGGCATGTGCCACCATGACTGGCTCCTTCCCTTCCCTTTCTCTCTTCTCTTGTCCCCTTCTGATGTTTTCTGGAATCATATCCTAAATACACTTCCTTCCATGGGAATCCTGGTTTCAGTCAGCTTCTGGGGGAACTCAAACTAGGACTGGCATTCTTGGCATAGTGCCAGGATTCAATACTGTGAGACCTGTACTCATCAGCCAGGGAGAGAGAAGAGGATCTAGGACTGAACCCTGGGGGAATTTTATTGAAGGGGACAGCATGGACAGAAACTTAATTTGGTTGGTGTACTCAAAGACAAAGAGGTGACCCACAGGCAGGAATTCTAAGCTTCTGGGGAAACTGAGGTCTGAAATGACTGTTTGAACTGAAATGGCAGCAGCAAGTATATAATTAACCCATGGGCCAAGGGGACCTTGGAGCTGAGATTCCTTTGGACAATGATTATCCTCAGATTAGCAGTTTGAGTATGGGACATTTTATGACAAACAATTCTCACTTAAAGGCAGAAACTTTACTGCCAGGTGATGTGCCACCAAGCACATAGATACTGAGGAAATTAGCTAATATCCACACAATGACAGATATGATATATTCCATAGTGTGATACTGGGGGAGAAAGGGTTGAAACTCAGGACCCTGAGATTAAGAGTGTCATGCTCTACCTACTGAGCTATCTCTTTGACAGAAAAGACCCAATTTAATTGATTCTTACATTCTCTTGGGACCCCCTTCCAACTCTGGGTGCTCTACCTTCCCACTTTACACTTTTCAATAAACTCTCCCACTTCAAAAAAAGAAGGGTGTGGGGGGGAATACTGAGGAAGGGCTAGCAATTGGATTGGCTGGATCCACACCTTTCCCTTTTATTGTTAATCTATGCATAGATGACCATGGTTTGAGTAGGGCAATGACTGGATTTGAAAGTTCAGACCATCACAGAGACCAGATCATAAGGTCTTGACTGTGAAGCTGGGAAAATTTAAACTGTGCTCTGAAGGCAGTGGGGATCTGTGGAAAGTAGTTGAGTATCAGAGGAACATAGCCAAAGTCTGGAATTCTAGTGGCTAATCTAAAAGATGGACTGGAGGGAGGTCATAGTTCAGGTTGTTGCAACAGGTCAGAATGATGCATCTTTAAGTTAGGCTTGGGCTGAGGGGCTAAGAAGTTAAAGAGAAGAATGGAGATGTGGTGATGAATCAATCTGGGAGAAACCAGGGATGGAGATACCAAAGAACCATAAATTAGGCCCAGGCAACATGTGTATAGCAACATCAAGTAATGCCTTCCCCAGAGGGCAAGGCCTATGTCTGCATTTCCTTAGGGCAATCCTCAGAGACTAGCATTATTTTGAGAGGTGCATTTGTAACTGACATCCTTAAAGGACAATCCCAATTAGTCTGAGCCTTCAGGGGCTGGGGCCTGGGGGCTGGGGAAGCAGCCCCAGGGCTCCAGTTTCCAGGAGGGAGAAAACCCCCAAGACACTACCATTCTGAGCCCTGTGAGGCTTGTTAGTGGCTGGGGAACCCTGGGACACCAGTTCCCGAGATCCCTGGAATATCAAGCCATGGGTCCTCCTCCCCTCTCTTCTTAGGCAGAGAGCAATGCCAGCAGGGATAGTGGGAAGCTCTCCTGCTGATGGTGAGTGCGAATTCAGAGTAGAGAAGCTACCATGGCCCATCCCCAGTCTTTGGGTTGAGATTTAAAAATAAGTGGTGGGAGGCTGAGGGCATAGCTTAAGTGGTAGAGTTTTTGCACAAGTGAGAGGTCCTGGGCCTGATCCCCAGCACCACACACACACACACACAGAAGTAGGCAGAGACAAATTTCAGATTGTCTGAATGTTCACCCAAAATTTCCCAGGCAGTGATGGACACAGATGGAGTTTGCTAGAAAGTTGTTCAGTTCTGCTTTTTTTAAAGCAAGGATTAATTTTGGCTCACACTTTTAGAGATTTCAGTCCTTTGTCAGTTTGGTTTAATTGCTTCTGGGCCTGTGCAAGGCAGAACATTATAGTGGAGAGTGTGGTGGAGCAGAGCTTCTCACATCTTGGTGGCCTGGAAAGAGATAAAGAAAGAGAGAAAGAGGGAGGGAGTGGGGACAGAGGAGAGGGAGCATGAAAGGGAGGCAGGGAGAGAGAGAGAGAGAGAGAGAGAGAGAGAGAGAGAGAGAGAGAGAGAGAGACTTAGGGACAAAATATAGTCCCCAAGGGCATACCTCAAGAACCCACCACCTTCAACTAGGTCCTACCTCCAAAATTTCTATCACTACCGTCACTTCTCAGTCTTTTGGCTAAGATCAAGTGCAATATCTACACCCCCCTCAATAACATATCAAATTATAAATTAATCCACTAATGAAATCAGAGCTCTCATGAGCCAATCACCTCCCAAAAGCCTACCAGCTGGCAATGAAGCTTTTAGCCCATGCACTGACCTTGGGGGAGCATTTTTGACCCAAATCTTCCCACTGCTGGGGGTAGCAGCTCTGGTTTTTGAAGAGGGTGGGATAGCAAGCGGAGAATACAAGAAGCACCTGGAAGGGAAGGTGGAGACTTTGGGGGAAGTCCAAGGAGACCCCTCCAGTGCTGCTCACTCCCAGATGCAGAGCTCAAAGGGGACAGGGCTGAGGCTCCTGCTTTTCCATGGGTGGGGTGGGGTGGGTCTTCCTGATGTGAAGAAAGAGGAAAGAAAAAACCTGGACCCTCATCACATGCATTTCTTGTCCTCTGGGTTCCTGCCCTTCTCAGGAAGGACCGTGAACCCTGTCACTCTCACAGTGGAGGTGGCATTGACCAGGTCCCTGAATTCAGCTGTTAACACTCTCACCAGGCAAGTGGGTCTTCATGCAATAAGGGACTGCTGCTCCTGTCACTTGATGTCATTTGAATGAGGGACTTCTGTCAGAAGGATTGGAACTTGAATTCTGTGTTTGAATCTGGCTTTGTAGGCTGTCATGAAGGTGTGTTTCTTAATGTAGGATGGTATGAATACAGTCTGCTCTCTTTATGAGTGGGTTCAATAACCAGGGATGCTATCGAGTGTTTTTTATTAATTCAAATAACAAAATTACAAATGTCCATTGTACATATAAATCGGACCATTTATTTTCCTTTTGTGTGGTCATACTGGGGATTGAATTCAGTGCCTCACATTTGCTAGGCAAGTCCCAGCCCTTTTGGCTTTAGTTGTTTATAGGGTGTTTATACAAGAAGCACCTGGAAGGGAAGGTGGAGACTTTGGGGGAAGTCCAAGGAGACCCCTCCAGTGCTGCTCACTTTTGCCTTGGTGCTGGCCTCAGACTACCATCTTCCTTTCTGTGATTCCTGTGTAGGTGGGATTATAGGTGTGCACTATCTTGTTTTTGAGATAGGGTCTCACTAACTTTTTTGCCCAGGCTAGTTTCAAATCATGATCCTCTCATCTTTACATCCTGTATAGCTGAGATTGCAGGTGTGAGCCACTGCACTGACTAAGACCATTCCTTTATGAGCAAAACTTTAAAATGAAGTTATAGAGTCAAGGTAGGGCTTTGGGTATATAGTATATGAACAGACTGTGGGTTCCTCCCTCCAGCAATGCAAGGATGATGGTATAGCATTCATTCTCCTTTTTTCTTTTTCTTTTTCTTTTCCTCTTCCTCCCTCCCTCCCTTCCTCCCTCCCTCCCTCCTTTCCTCTCTGCCTTCTTCCCTCCCTCCCTTCCTTTGTTCCTTCCTTCTTTTGGTGGGACTGGAGTTTGAACTCAGGGCTTCACTCTTGCAAAGCAGGCACTCTATCCCTTGAACCACACCTCCAGTCCATTTTGCTCTGGTTATTTTGGCTATGGGGTCTCGAGAACTATTTGCCCAGGCTGGCCTCAAACAGTGATTCCCCCGATCACAGCCTCTCAAGTAGATAGGATTACAGGCATGAGCCACTGTAGTCCAGCTGTAGTTGAAAATATTTCATTGTAAGGTTGATCCATTCATCAGTTGGTGGACATTTGGGTTGTTTCTACCTTAAAAAATTTTTTTTTGTTTTTCATTTTTTAATTTTACTTACTATATATATATATATATATATATATATATATATATATATACAAACTCCATTAGCAATGGCTATTGGGATTTATCAAATCATCTCATAGTGGCCCATGTCACAATATCTGCCATTCCTTTTGTTTGATTGGCAGTACTGGGGTGTTTCTACCTTTTCATGATCATGAAAAATGCTGCTCTGAACATTCGTGTAGAAATTCTTGTTTAAGCAACTGTTCTCAATCTCTTAGGTGAATGCATAGGAGTGGACAAATAAGGTCATACAATAACTCTGGGTTTCATTCGGAAGAACCAGCCATCTTATTTTAACCTGCATTTCTTTTGATCATTGTAAGAATAAAATGGTTTTCATCTGTATAGATACTGGACGTTTGCAAATTTCATTTTCTTAATCTCTTCGGGAGTCTTAGGGGACCACTGTTAGCCTTGGGCAAGAGAGGCCTCTTTTTTTTTCTTAGTGATACTTCTGAGGACCATATTCTAACCCTTTTCTGTCCTGTCTACCTTAGGGGTGAAGAACACAAAGCCAAGCATATGTGTTGAGCTTGACCTTGAATCCCAGTGTAGACAATGCTCTATAGGACTCTAAAATTCCTTCTAGGTGGCTCCCAGTCATCAGTAGGGCCTGAGAGGGACCCCCTTCTTTGGGCTTATTCCCCTGATATGGACCACTCTGTGAGTGTGAGCTGCCTGGTCCAGGGTCATTGGTTTGCAGATTGTCTCAGATGTCACTAAACAGCATGAACTCATTCTTCTCTCTGTCTCAACATCCTTCTTGTCTCAAAGGAAGGACTTGAGGAACTAAAGGCTCAGCTATGCTTATCAAAACCAATTTAACTCTTTTTAAAAAAAACATTTATTTTAATGACAAACTTTTATATATTTATGCATAACTTGATATTTTGAAATATATATACATTGTGCTAAATTAACATACACATTGCTCCACATTCTTGTCATTTTTGGTGTATATTAATTGTACAAAGTGATGGGCTTCATTATTACATTTTCATACATGCAAATAAGTACCACAATCATATCTGACCTTCTTGTTACCCATACCCTTCCTTTTCCCTAGTAGTTTTCTTTCTACTTTCATGCCTTTTTTTTTATATGACGGGGTTTTGAACTCAGGACTTCACGCTTGCTAGACAGGCGCTCTACCACTTGAGCCACACCCTCAGACCTTTTTGCTCTGGTTATTTTTGAGATAGGGTCTCACTTTATGCCTGAGCTAACCTGGACCTCAATTCTCTTATTTGTGTTTCCTTGTGTAGGTGGGATGACAGGAAAGCATGACCACACCCAGCCATTGTTTGAGATTAGGTCTTGCAAACGTTTTTTGCCCAGGCTGGCCTCAAACCCTGATCCTCCCAGTCTCAGCCTCCTGAGTAGTCACTGTGCCCAGCAAGTTCTTGTAATTTTCTTATATATTGAGACACTTGCTGGCTGGGTAATACTAAGGAAACAAATGAGTTGTCATTTCCAAGTGTCTATGTTTTGTTTGCAAACCAGAGATGATTCATCAACCTCATCAGTGTCCCTATATTGTGCTATTCTTCTTGCTCTGTCCTCTCCTCTCAGGCTCCAGAGAAGCAGCCAGAGAACGGAACATGGCTGGTGACCGAGTTTGTGCTGGTGGGATTCTCCAACCTTCCAGACCTGAGGACCACACTCTTCACATTGTTCCTCCTCACCTACCTGGTCACCCTCAGTGGCAATGTCACCATTATCACCATCATCCATGTAGACTGCACCCTCCACACGCCCATGTACCGCTTCTTGGCTACCCTGTCCCTGTCTGAAACCTGCTATACACTGGTCACCATTCCCAATATGCTGGCCCATTTGCTGATGGAGAGCCAGCCATCTCCATTGCTGGTTGTCGTGCTCAGATGTTCTTCTTCCTGGGTCTGGGCTGCAGTCACTGCTTCCTTCCTTCCCCTGATGGGTTATGATAGGTATGTAGCCATCTGTCATTCCTTGCGCTACTCAGTGATCATGAGGCCCACTGTCTGCTTCTGCTTGGGAGCCTTGGTTTTCTGCTCTGGCTTCTTGGTGGCCTTGATTGAGACTTGCTTGATCTTCTCCTCTTCCTTTTGCCATGGAGACCGTGTGGAACATTTCTTCTGTGACATTGCCCCTGTGCTAAAGCTCAGCTGCTCAGAGAGTGTGCGCAAGGCTCTGGGCATCTTCTTTTTGAGCATCTTGGTGGTGCTGGTCTCCTTCCTCCTTATCCTCCTCTCCTACGCCTTCATAGTGGCTGCCATCCTGCGGATCTCCTCTGCCTCTGGTAGGCGTAAAGCCTTCTCCACCTGTGCGGCCCACCTCACCGTGGTCATTGTGCATTTTGGCTGCGCCTCCATCATCTACCTGCGGCCGGACTCTGGGGCAAACCCTGACCAGGACCGCCTAGTGGCTGTGTTCTACACCGTGGTGGCACCTCTGCTGAACCCAGTGGTATATACTCTGAGGAACAAGGAGGTGAGGGTGGCCCTGAGGAGGACCCTGGAGCGCAGCTGTGGGGTGTTGAAATAAGGACTCACTTTGCATTTTCCATCACGTTCTAGATTTTTATTAACATGGGCTTCTCTTGAGACTCGTTTTTCCCACTTGAAAAACCTTTTAGTGAAATAGACTTTTAGTGCCTGAGACTTTGCATAAACCCAATAAAGGATGTCTTTTCTATTTGTCATGGCTTTGACTTTGGTGCCATGCAATGTGGCTTGCTGTGGCCAATGTGCGCCAGTGGATGGCCCACTCATACTGCTCACTTTGGCCACTGGTGGAAGATGGTTTTTAACAAGTAGAGAGCAGAGATCAACACTCTCCATCATCCTTTTATCTTACTTTATTTCCTTCATTTCTCTTCTTTCTTCTCTTTTCCTTTTAAAAATTTTTTGAAAAAAAATTACTTTTGTTTCCGGGCACCCGCGTTTCACACCTATAATCCCAGCTACTTGGGAGGCTGAGAATGGGAGGATCACAGCTCAAGGCCATTGCAGGCAAATAGTTCTTGTGATCCCATCTCCAAAATAACCAGAACAAAATGGACTGAAATGTGGCTCAAGGGGTAGAGCACCAACTTTGCAAGTGCGAAGCCCTGAGTTTAAATATCAGTCCACCAAAAATATTTGCCCAGAATGGCTTTGAACCATGATCCTTCTGATCTCTACCTCCTGAGTAGCTAGGATTACAGGTGTGAGTCACTAGTTCCTGGCTTGTACCTTTATTTTTAAATTTAAAGAGATTAATTAATTTTGTGGAACTGGGGATGAAATCTAAGGCTCTACCCAATCTACACCCACACCCCCATTCTAGGGATATTCTATAGTCTATGTAAAGTGTTTCAATAGTTTTTTCCTTTTTATTTCTGAATAGTGCTTCATTGTGTGGCTATATCTCAGTTAATAATTTTAATTGTTGGATATTAATTGTGTAGAGTAGTGGGTTTCATTAGCATACTTTGATCATATTCATTGCTCTGTTACTATTTTTTTCAACACTGGTGTTTGAACTCAGGACTTTGCACTTGGTAGGCAGGTACTCTACTACTTGAGCCACACTGCCAGCCCTTTTTGCTTTAGGTATTTTATGACAGGCATGTGCCACCATGCCCAGCTTTTATTGGTTGAGATGGGGTCTCACAATTTTTTTTTTTTTTGCCTAGGCTGTCCTTGAGCCAGGATGCTCCTTATCTTCACCTCCTGAGTAGCTGGGATTACAGACATGCACCACCATGCTTGACTATTGCCATTTGTTATCTCTTCTTCCACTCCCTCTTTTCTTTCACCTCCCCAATAGTTCCCCTTTAACATTCGTGTCCCCTATCACACCCTTGATTCTACATGGCACACTTGTCTATGTGAATTTGGTTTATCTCACTCAATGTGATGATCTCCAGTTTCCTGCTAACAACAGCATTTCATTCATTATGGCTGAATAATACTCTGTTGTGTATATGTATCACATTTTCTTTGTGTAATCATTGGTTGATGGGCACCTCAGCTGGTTCCACAGCTTGGTTATTGTGAGTAGTGCTGTGATAAACATACATCTTCTTGCATGTTGAGTTACATTCCTTTGGATATATGCTCAGAGTGGCACATCAGGGTCATAGGTAAGTTAAACAAATTTTCTATTGTGACAAAGTTATCAATCATATTTTTTGGGTAGTACTGAGGTTTGAACTCAGAGCCTTATGCTTGCTACACAGGTGCTCTACCACTTGAGCCACTCCACCAGCCCAGTACTTCATTTTTGCTTAATTAAATATTATTGACAGATTGAAGTCATTCAACGTGTTTTTCTTAACCATAATGCAATGAAATGGGAAATCTGTAATAAAAGGAAAGCTTCAAGTAGGCAGAAATTAAACAATATCCTCTCAACCAAAAGGTCAGAAAATAACTGCAAGTTGAGTTTGAAAATACTTTGAGGGTGGCAGGTAGTTCAAGTGGTAGAGCACCTGCCTACAGCAAGTGTGAGGTCCTAAGCGCAAACCCCAGTACAGCCCCCCAAAAGAAAATACTTTGAGATGAATGAAATGAAAACACAATATACCAAAACTTATAGTGAGCAGCAAAAGCAGTACTCTGAGGGCAATTCATAGCAGTAAATGCTTACATTAGAAATAAAGAAATCAGGTGCCAGTGGCTCATGCCTGTAATCCTCACTACTTCAGGATGCAGAGATCAGGAGGATTACGGTTCGAAAGCCATCCAGGCAAAAAGTTCTCGAGACCCTATCTCAAAAAATCCCATCACAAAAAAAAGGGCTGGGAGAGTGGCAAGGTGTAGGCCCTGAGTTCAAGCCCAAGTACTGAAAAAAAAAAAAAGAAGAGGAAGAAGAAAGATACTCAATCATTAACCTAACTTTAGACCTCAAGTACCTAGAAAAAAAGAACTTGCTAAACACCAGTGATGTGGCTCACACCAGGAGATTCTCTAAGAATTGATAGTCTGTGCTTAATGTACTTCATTTTCCACTGGTCTCAACATTCCACGCTGTTCTGCACTCTGTTGGTGTTTGTGTTAGCCGACTGAGGGCAGAAGGTCGGCCCTGAAAGTGAGAGGCTCTGTACAACAGGCTGAGGTCCCAGATGGAATTAAAAAATGGGAGAAGAGAGAAACCCACACACTCAAGCTCAGTGTTTGTCAAGTGTGTCTTTGGTGGTTGCCATTGTGTGAGGATGTCAGACTCCAGTGTCTTCAGTCTTTAATGTGGACTCACAGCAGGAACTCTCCAGGAAGCTTCCAGGCATTCATCCTTGACTGGGGTTGTACCCTTGGTTCCCCTTCTTCTGAGGTTTGCTAAACATGTATTGGTTTCCCTATTTTCCAGTTTGCAGATAACCATTGCAGAGATGATTGTGCAAGCCATTTTCACAAATTAAAAGTTATGATTTTTTTCTGTTTTGTTTTGCAGCTCTGGGTAGAACCCAGTGCCTTGTGTGTGCTAGGCAAGCACTCTCCTTCTGAGCTGCCTCTCCAGCCCTAGAAGTTATGGTATTGTGACAGTCAACTATATTGGGTCTTTTCTGTCAAAGGGCTAGCTCAGTCAGTAGAGCCCTTTTCCTCTCCCCAACCTGGTACCACACTATGGAATATGTCTGTCATTGCATGGATATTAGCTAATTTCCCCAGTCACCAATGTGCTCTGTGGCACGTTGCCTAACTCTGTAAAGCATCTGCCTTCAGCAAATGTCCTAAACTCAAACTAACGTTAAGATAATCATTGTCCAAAGGAATCTCTGCTCCAATGTTTCCTTAAACTATGGGTTAATTATATACTTGGTGCTGCCATTTCAGTCCTCAGTTTCCCCAGAATCTTAGAATTCCTGCCTATGGGTCACCTCTTTTTCTTTGGGTACAGCAATCAATTTAAGTTTTATGTCCATGCTCTCCAATTATGTCTGCTTTCCCCCCAACCATAATCAATCACAAAAACAGAACCTGAGGTCCCTGTGTTAGAGTGACAGGCAGTCCGGCATAAGGGACTGTGATGGTCCTTCTATCCTGCGTGCTTGCATGCCTGATACTGGTTGGAGGCACACACTCCTGCAGAAGTTAATTTTGCCTTGTCCATCAACTTTTGAGCTTGTGTATGATTTGTGACTGTGGCAGTGCTCCAATATTTCTAACAGTATCACACCCACTAGGATGTCTACTATTAAAAAAAAAGCCCCATAGAAAATAACAACTCTAAGTGAGCATGTGGAGGAATTAGAACCCTTGTGTATTATTTGGTAGGAGTGTAAAATGGTATAGCTTCTGGGTAAAACCGTATGTTAAAAAATATAATTATTATGTTGTCCAGCAATTCCACTTCTGGGTATATATCAAAAAGAATTGAAAGCAGAGTCTCAGAGAAGTTTGTGTACAACTATGTCCAATAGTTCACAATAGCCAATCCAAACATCCATTGATGAATGGATAGACAAAATGTGTATATGCATATAGAATATTATGCTGCTTTCAAACGGAAGGAAATTCTGACACAACCTGTATAAACCTGTAGGACATCATGCTAAGTGAAGTAAACTAGTTGCAAAAGAACTAATAGCGTGTGATTCCACTTAGATGAGGTAATCAGAGTCATTAAATTCACGGAGACCTGAAGTAGAACGGTGGCTGCCAGGGCCTGAGGGAAGAGGGAATGAGGTGTTATGTTTAATGGGTTTGGAGTTTCAGTTTTGCAAGATGAAAAAGCCCTGGAGATAGATGGCTTTGATGGCTGTACAGCATTGCCACTGAGCTGCACTCTTAAAAATGGCTAAGATGGTAGAGTTGATGTTACGTGTATTTGTATTTTGCTACAAGGAAAAATAAAAATAATCTAAAACAGTTTTGCTATGGATGGAAGTCAATGTTAGCAAGGGAAGGATTTATTTATCTTGTGGTTATCTTGGCTGAAACAGAACTAAAAGCACCTCCCTGAACAGGTAGAGCAGGATGGGCTGGTGTCACTGTATTCAATAGCATGTGATTCCTCCTTCTCAAAAATAAGACATTACTCTCCACAGATATTGCCTAGTGAGCCATCCATTCCCTGCATCCTTTTTCTGACTGTTAATTTTATTCATTCATTTTTCTTTCTTTTATCATTTTTACATTTACTTACATGTGTATACATTGTTTGAGCCACCTCCCCACTCCTCCCAACACCTCCTCCTCCATGCTTCTGGAAAGAACCTGTTCCACCCTCTTGTTTTCTGATTTTGTAGAAGAGAAAATATGAGATAATAAGAATGACATAGCGGTTTTGCTGTTTGAGATAAAGATAGCTATATAGAGAGATTCCCAGCATTGCTTCCATGCACGTGTGTATTACAACCCACATTGGTTCATCTCAACCAGACCTCTTCACTACTTCCAGGTCACCTTCCCACAGTGGCCTCTGTCAGTTTAAGATTACTTTATTCACTGCTTTGCAGTGAACACATCAACCACATTCAGGTTTTAGGTTTCTTTCCCTTTCCCTATTCCTCCCATGCACGTTTTTACCTTAGTGTGTGACACATGTCCAGTAATATTACC